GAGGCAGCAAAACAGCCCCAGACCATCGCACTACCACCACCATATTTTACTGTTGGTATGATGTTCCTTTTCTGAAATACAGTGTTACTTTTACGGCAGACATAATGGGACTGAGACCTTTCAAAAAGTTTAGCTTTCTCTCTTGGGGATCATCCATATGTTTGTTTGTTTTTTTTGGCAAATATAAGATGAGCCTTTGTGTTCTTTTTGATGTGGTTTTCTCCTTGAACTCTCCCTTCGGTGCCATTTTTCTCCAGTCTCCTTCCTATAGCTGAATCATGGACTCTGAACTGAACTGAGACATGTGAAGCCTGTGGTTCTTTAATGTTGTTCTGGGTTCTTTTGTGATCTCCTGGATGAGTCATCAATGTGCTCTTGGAGCCGGTCATTCCTGGGAAGGTCAACCACTGTTCCAAGTTTTCCCCATGTGTGAATAATGGTTCTCACAGTGATTCACTGGAGTCCTGAAGCCTTGGAAATGGCTTTAAACCCTTTCCAGGCTGATAGATGTTAGTGACTTTGTTTCGCAGGTGTTTCTTTAGATTGTAGCATGATGCGTTGCTTTTGGGGATCTTTTAACCTGTTTCACTTTGTCAGACAGGTTCTATAAGTGATTTCCTGATTCAGCAGGTCTGCCAGTAATCATGTCTGAGCCTGTTTAGTGAAACTGAACTCAGCTTCCCAAAAAATGAGATTAATCACAGTTAATTCATGATGTAACAAGAGGGTCAATTACTTTTTCACACAGGACCAGTGCCAATTTTCTTCCTTAATCAATAAAATCTTTATTTAAAAACTGCATTTTGCATTTACTTATCTCTGTCTAATATCCACATTATATTTAATTGTTTTTAATCTCAAAAAAGTTACAGCTAAAAAGGCTTTAATTGATTACTTATGTTAGTCAAGCAAGTGAGGAGTCTCACCAACACAACAAAGATGAGAAACTGCATACATGACCAAAATAAAATACAGTAGTTTACTGCAGAAGAGATACATATATTAAAGGAGGACCATGTGCGCTGGGTTGTCACAGATGGCTGAAATTGGGTTTAAAGTTGCTTCTGTTGTAAAATCTTAGCCCGAATCTCACATCGGCTAAATAATGTGTCAGGCGACTCTTCTCGGCAGTGCAAAATATGTGATATTAACCTTTTCTTGCAGACAATGGTCAGCTGTCGCATCGCCATGGTTATGATGCAGTATAGTATCATGGCTAACAGCTACTGGTTGCTGGTGGAA